GTGAATGAGAATTCTGGAGGCTCCACATTATTGCCAGTGCAAGGATATTATCTATAGTGAATAAAAATATATCTTGGGCATATTATCTTTTAAATGTAAATATAATATACATTTTGAAAAATGGTTGATGATTTTGATTAGGATTAATATTTTATAGAAGACAACTTTTCTTAAACTTTGATTGTGGTTAGATAGTTGCCAGAACCTATTCCTCTGCTTCCTGTCTCATAATTGAAATCCTTAGTCAAGTAGTACTTTTGGTTTTGACAAAGTACATTTTCTCTTTCGCTTAGACATACATACATCTGTCTCTGTCTGTCTGTCTGTCTGTCGGTCGGGATAGAACCAAGGGCCTCATGCATACTATGCAGTATCTCTATCACTCAGTCACATCCCCAGCTAGACATTTTGTTTTTTGTTCCCTGGGATTGAACCCAGGAGTACTTAACCACTGAGACCCATCCTGAGTCCCCTTTTAAAAATATTTTATTTTGTGACAGAGTCTTGCTAAGTATTGTGTCTTGAATTTGTCATCCTCTTGCCTTAGTCTCCAGGGTCATTGAGATTACAGGCTTGTGCCACCACTCCCTGTAGACATTTGCATTTCATGGAGCAATATAATACTTTAAAAAAGGATTCTCAAGGAGGGCTTTGAGGCACTAACTTGTAATCCCAGCAACTCTGGAGGCCTCAGCAGGAGGATTGTTAACTTCAAGGCCAGCTTCAATAATTTAACTAGATCCCTTAGCAAAGTGAGACCTTGTTTCAGAATAAAAAAATCAAAAGAGCTAGCTTCATGGTAAAGTACCCCTGGGTTCATTCTCAGTATCTTTATCCCATTCTCCCCCCAAAAAAGCATCTCAAGTAATTTTCAGAAAAAGAAACTGACAAATACTAAATTTTATCAGTAATCGTTTTCATAGTTTTTGTCATTATATAAAGGTGCCTCTTAACAGATTTAACTAGTGTCTTTTTTCTTGTTTATTCTTGATTATTTTATATATTTATTTTAGTTGGTACCAATTTACATATTTAATGTTTTTTGTTCAATTATATTGCTTCATTTTCTGATTGCTTACCATTTCTAACTTTTTTTTGTTCCTTCATGTGTAGTATTGTTGGATGTATCTTTAAGTTCCTAATTTCAATTTCCTAATTAAAGTTGAGATTATTTCCTTAGTGCACATACCTCAAAATGGAATAACTGAGGTGGGGGATATAGCTTTGAGACAGTTATGACTCATTGCCCTATAGTTTTGGGGACATGGTAAACCTATTCATAGTATCCTATCTATATTCCATTTGCTTAGATCCTTGCCAATAATACATGAGCTGGTTTTTCTTCTTTTTTTACTTTTGCTAGTTTAATTGACATGCACTTTGCTGATTTAATGTTTGCTTATTTTAAATCAGTGGCATTTAAAAAAGTTTTCTATATTATGACTTCTTGTCCTGGGCAGATTTGATCATCAGTTGTTTTTTCAGTGTAAAATTGGAGAATTGATCTAACATGGATTTTATATAGCTGACTTCTTTGTTTTCCTTTTATGTCCACTTTATTATTATGTATTTTTTTTACCAGTGTCTAAATATTTTACCTTTTATGTAATATAATATTGATGTTTTATATTACTGGAATATCAAAATGACTTGTTCTAAAATACATGGTAAGAATACATATTTATAAGCTTAGTTGGTGAGAAATTTGCTTTTTAGTGTTCATTTCCAGATAGTTTTCTAAAGTAGATGTTTAATTAGCAATCCAGTTTTTTCCTTTGATGAGCTTTATAAATGTTGTAATATATGGTAAATCTTGTGCTCTTAGAAAATAATGTTCACTCAAATTTAATAGCAAAGTTTTCCAATAAAATGATAATCAAAATTATTAAGAAGCAAGGAACAAAGTAGATTAACAATTATAAATCTTAATCTTTGAAATGCAAATTAAAAGTAACTGAGATTTCATTTCCAGTCAGGTTGGAAGTTATCAAAAATACGTGTAACAATAAATGTTGTCAGAAGTGAGGAAAAAGGTATACTCATTCATTGCTAGTGGGACTGCAAATTGGTACAGCCACTGTGGAAAGCAATGGGGAGATTCCTCAGAAAACTTGGAATGGAACCACCATTTGACCCAGTTATCCCACTGCTTGGTATATACCCAAAGGACTTAAAAGCCACATACTGTAGTGACATGGCCACATCAGTGTTTATAGCAGTTCAGTTCACAATTGCTAAGCTGTAGAACCAACCTAGGTACGCTTCACCACGTGAATGGATAAGGAAAATGTGGTACATACACACAGTGGAATATTATCAGCCATAAGGAAGAATGAATTTATGGCCTTTGCCTGTAAATGGATGGAACTGGAGACTATCATACTAAGTGAAATAAGCCAATCCCAAAATCCAAAGGCTGAATAGTCTCTCTGATATGTGGATGCTGACTCACCGTGAGGGGAGGAAGGGGAGAAGGGGAGGTTCACTGGATTGGACAGAGCTGCTTGGGGGGAAGAGGAAGATGGGAATGGGAAAGAGTAGAATGAATCAGACCTAACTTTCCCATGTTCATATATGAATTACATGAGCATTGTAACTCCACATCATATACTACCACAAAAATGGGAAGTTATACTCCATGTATAAATACTATGTCAAAATACATTCTGCTGTCATGTTTAACTAAAAATTCAAAAAAATAATTTATAACTTAAAAAAAAAAAGTCTTAATCTTTAATTACAGATGTTAGCATCAATTGTGGCTCTGGATTCTAGCTAGTTTTATAGGAGTTCGTTTTAGCTTTGGAGTCAGGTACCTGAACCTAAAAGTGTGTTTTTGTTTAGAGATATAAGGGATTCTAGGGCTTGATTACTAACAATTAGACTTCTATAGAGCTTCTGACTGAGGAAATTCTGGGAAAATCTAATGTCATTTGGAGACCACTTTGCTTTTCTTCCTGGACAGAGTTTTGAACTCTTGCAGAATATACATTACTACAGCTGCTTTTTGATTTATGATGGGATCATATCCCCCAAACCCATCACAAGTTTGTATTTAAGATGAAAATGCTTTAAATAACCTAATGTTCTGAACATCATGACTTAGCACAGCCTTCCTTAAATGTACTTACATTAGCCTGCAATTCTGTAAAACCATGTAAAACAAAATTCTAATTTGGAATTGCACCTTGAATATCTTACATTAGCCTTCAGTTCTGTAAAACCATGTAAAACAAAATTCTAATTTGGAATTTGCACCTTGAATAGGATCAACCCCCCCCCCCAAAAAAAAAAAAAAACCAAACATGATTGACTACACAGAAAGTGAACATTACTGACTATGTGAACAACATAATAGTTGTATAGGCATGCTTTTGAGCTGTTATAAAGTAAAAATTTGAATGTGGAACCATTGCAAATTGAGGATTGTTTATAATTAGTTTTTCTTATCTCTCTCTTTTTTTAACTTCACACATTAAGAAACATGATTGTGTATTTTTTATTTTATACATTTAAAAACATGATTATGCCAGGCGCAGTGACCCACACCTGTAATCCCAGTGCCTCAGGAGTTCAAAGTAAAAGCGAGACACTAAGCAACTCAGTGAGACCCTGTCTCTAAATAAAATACAAAAAAATAGGGCTGGGGATGTGGCCCAGTGGTTGAGTGCCCCTGAGTTCAACCTCCCCCCCGCCCCCTCCACTGCCAAAAAAAAACATGATTATAAAAACATATCTGTATTTTCTGCTACATTGCCAGAGGGTTCCTGGCCCATCAAAATTAAGAACCATACTCTAGGTAGTGTGAGGTGGTACATGTCTGTAATTCTGTCTACTCCAATGGCAGAGGCAGGAGGACCACTAGTTTGAGGCCAGCCCTGGCAATTTGGTGAGACTATGTCTCAAAATAAAATAAAAAGGGCTATGGATGTACTCAGTAGTAAACAGTGTGCCGAGCATGTGTGAGGCCCAGTTCAATCTCCAGCACTGGGCATGAAAAAAAAAAGTTTCATGGAGAAAAGATTTTTTTCATGTTTGAAGAGTATAAAGTTGCCTAACATTCATGGAGGTTTGCCAAAATGTCATTGTTAATCTAGGTTGCTATCAGGGAGAAGTGCCTGGTAAAATTGATTGCTATATTCTGGGAGTGACCCTAGTGAAGTAGTTTCTTATTGATCATGGTCTCATGGACAATTTATTGCCAGCAAGAAATGGAGAAAATATAATTCTGAGTACATAGAAGCATGCTAATTTTTTTGTGTTGTTGTTATATAAGTTCAACACCATTGCATTACATTAGAAAATATAAATGGGAAAAGAGATACATGTAATGCTTTAAGATTTTTATATTTTTTCCTTATAGAGCTTTTAAATATTGTATGTATGTATTTGTATATCTGTGAGCACACATGTAGGCAAACATGCATGGAGAAACATCTCTATGTATTTTTAGATAGACTTTTTTAAATTCAAAAATGAAATTGTGTTTTGTAATAAGTTGCCTCCTTTTAGGTTCAGTTTTATTGAGGTATTATTTCTATAGAGTAAAATTCACCCTTTTTTCCCCCTGTGAATTTTAAGGAACACATAATCATGTAATTCTTACTAGTCAAGAGAAAAAAAGTTTTGTGACCTCCAAAAATCTCCTTGTGCTCTTTTTATAATCCTCTCCTTCACTGTAGCCATTTATTTCTTTTTTGTTCCTTTTACAAAATGGCTGTGTGAATTCTTTCACTTATTTTTCCTTATTAAACGTTAGGTTTTGATATCATACTTCAGGAATCTTGTATCAAATTTATGGAAATATTCATGTGTATTTTTTCTTAGAATTTAAATTTTTCATTTTTGAAAATTTAAGCCTTTATTCAGTTTGGTACTTATTTTAGTGTATCTTTTGAGTGGAAAACCCAGTTTTTAAAGATGAGTTAACTATTTTATCTGTACTTATTAGAATTGGGTTACTAATATAATTTTCTTACTAAATTTTGATTTCTTTACAGGTAACACAAGTAGCAAGACAGCCGGGACCCCCAACCCCTTCCCCTTATTCAGCACATGAAATAAACAAGGGGCATCCAAATCTTGCGGCAACGCCCCCGGGACATGCATCGTCCCCTGGACTCTCTCAAGTAAGAAAAACAGTTTTGGGGGGGAAATTTTTTTTTTTTTTTTTCCAGGTAAAGTCAGCATTTCTGTTTTTCTAAAGCAGACCTTAGAACAGACTTTAAAGTAGTATTATAAAATATTTTTAGAGTAATTTCTGTTGGGTCTTTAGTATCTTTAGACATACCTCCCATTTAGTTTCAAATATTTATTTTAGTTTGGAGTGATTGAAAACTGCCATTGATATTTAGTTTTCCTTTTTTACTGTTTAACAAATTAAGAATGTGATTCTAAAGTTCATTGAAAATATCTTTACAGACATGGGTTTCTTTTCTATGTTTAATCTGTTGTAGTCTTCCTACCTCAATTTTTTTCCTACCTGGAACTTTTTTTCCCCCCGAGTAACTTTAATGGGAGTTTTTGTATGTTGCTTTGGTTTTTGATTTTGCAGGTAGATAATTTGAATTTGTTAGGCTTAAGTTTTTGTTCAGACATTCAGCAACTGGTTGAAGAAGCTATGTCTCTGGTTCTCTTTCATTTTAAGTTTTTCTCAAGATACTCTTTTTCTTGCCCCATCCCTCCATCACATGCCTATTTGGGTTTCCTTTTGATTGAGACCTTGCTGGTTATGAAGTATCCTGTTGGAACGTGGAGAGAGACAAGTCAATAACCTTGACTTGTTCTGTTTGAGATTGTCAGTATTACATGTAAGAGTGGCTATTTTTAATAATAAAAATAATTTTTGTGTCATTTTTAATTTTCGCTGTAATATTTTAGGACTTTTAGATCTGTGAAATAGTATGAGACAATTGAAATTACTTAAAACGATTATAAAACTGATGTTAAGTTAGGCGCCGAAAATAATGAAGGTTTATATTATAGCATGTTTAGAAAAGGAATTCCAACTGTCAGACCATGACTGGTGTAGCTCTTTTTTTTTTTTTTTTGAAATTTTTTCCTTAGTTGTAGTTGGACACAATACCTTTATTTTATTTATTTATTTTTATGTTGTGCTGAGGATCAAACCCAGTGCCTTGCACATGCTAAGTGAGCACTCTATTGCTGAGCCACAACCCCAGCCCCTGGTCTATCTTTTTAAAGTAATATATGAATTAATTTGTCATGGTTAGTACTATGCTTAAATTCAGCCCATATCAGTCTAGTATAATTGTGAGTTTTAAATATTGAAAGCAAAACCAAAGGAATTCTTAGTTGTTTAAATGAGGCTCTTGTGTTGGTTTCTGTATCACTGAGTGGAGGCACCCGACCTGTAATTAAAGTATATTAGGCCTTAGTCTCATCAGGAAAGGTAAACCTTTTAAATAATTGTAATTAAGTTGAATACAAAAAGTGCAACATAAGGAATTATTAAATCAAATTGGGGTTTGGAATAGTGATGGATTGACTAAAAGGAAAGAACTCTCAAGAATGTAAGAATAGTAGATGTATGGAGTAGCTGCTTCTATTAGGGCTAAGGTAGACTCTTCCTTTTTAATGCTGATATCAAAGCTGTTGGTCCTTCCTTTGGAAATTTCTCAAAATTTGCCCTGTAGAAGATTTGGAAAGCTTCCTTCTTTAACACTAATAATCTGTAGCAACGAGCTACTGCAGTGTATGCTGGACCAAGGCTTTTACAGCATGTCTGCCAAAGATAATTCAGATAACATTTCTGGGTCATGAGTGCCAGTTGGTAGAGCTGTTTGTGTTGCGACCTAGACTTGCTGCATAAGTTTATTTTGTCCTCTTCCTTACTCAAAATTGGAATTTGGTCAAGATAACAATGGCAAATACAGTATACATTGTCTTGTACCTTTTTTCCCTTTATGTTAGATAGTGTTAGGGTCAAGACTGTTCCTCTTAAACTAAAGTCTGGACTCTTAGGAAGGGGCATGGTGGGTCTTTCTAAGTAGCATTGGTGTCATGTCAAGACAGTAAAACTTACTGGAAATCTACTGTCTGGAACTCACCAGAATTCTTCCCTCTATGGTGCTGAGGGAAAACTGTTTGCAGGGAGGTTTCTTAAAAGAGGCTCTCTGCTGCAGACCTGCAAGAGAGTACTAGGAATGCCTTTTGGCTGCTGGAGACCACTGCCTGCTGTGCAAGGCAACAGAAGCCTAGCACTGAATGGGAGCTGATCACAGGAGAAGCTAAATTTTGGAGATGCTATCTGGGCTGCAGGAGCCTTTTGCTAAGTCCATGGAAACCAAGAAGCAAAACCCACTCTTCTTGCAATATTGCTACAATGCCCTCTACTGGCAAAAAGTTTGACATTGTGTCAGTCGAAATGTCAAAATATTTATAGAGCACAGATCCATTTTCACACCACTGGCAAAAAGGGTGAATTTTGAGCTGAAAGGCTAGCAACTGCTAATTGGCATATAGGGGAAAGAGTTTTTTCCATTTGAAATTCTTTACTATTTCAAATTGTGATTTAACCCAAGTGTGTGCCCCAAAGCACTAAGGTTTTCTGAATGCCAGGACATCATCTGTCTCCTTACAATTTTTTAACATAGTAATAGGGTAAGGAAGGCTTTTTTTTTTATTCCCTTAAATTGTCATACTTGACAAAATGGAAAGTTTTGTGGAAAACTCAGTGTTTCTAAGTTTAACAGTTTAAACGGTTCATGGATCATAGTGAAAAGCAGGACTTTGAAAATAGAGTAGACAGGATTCCAGGCTTGGAGTCAGATAGACACTTTTTGGTTTTATGATATTGAATAAATTACATAGCGGGGTATTGGAATTTTACTATTTTCTGAAAGAGTTATTATGATTATATAAAATTCTGTCTCAGAACAAAATACACTAAATATGAGTAAGTGATGTTTTTTATTTTGTATATATGTGTGCATGTGCTTTTGTAGCCTTGTCTGCTAACTCTTCTATTTCTGTCTAGTATTAGTGTGAAACTCAGAAACTGTCCCCAAGAGTTGGACCTGTCTTTGAAGTCTTTGCCTATTCCTGATAATAGGATAAAAGTAGGACCAAGCTTGGTCATTTTCTCTTGGTGATAATGTTTTTTATTATTGTGAACAAACTATTAGATACAAATCAACTGAGGAGAAAGTAACAAACTAATTTTTAGCCACATGCCCTTTTTCAATATGACATTCTCCTCTGTCTCTCTGAATTAATCCTTTTATACAGAATAGCCGACAGAGGGCTGGAAACATAGCTTAGTGGTAGAGCTCTTGTCTACCATGCTGGAAATGGTAGAGCTGTGAAAAACAAAACAAGCCAGGCATCCCAATAAAATAGCTCCTTACTTATAATATTCAATGGTTTACACAAAATTATTCTATTAGGTTCTTTTTTTATTTTTATTTTTTTTTGTAGTTGTAGATGGGCAGAATGCCTTTTATTTTATTTGCTTATTTTTATGTGGTGCTAAGGATTGAACCCAGTGCCTCATGCATGCTAGGCATGCACTCTACCACTGAGCCTCAGCCCCAGCCCCTATTCTATTAGGTTCTAAGTGAAAGAAACTATAATGAGGAAAAGTGAATTACATAACTTTGAAACATAAAAGACAAAAATGTAGAAAATTGTTCCCAACTTCCTTTTTTTAATATGTGTTTGATGGACCTTTATTTTATTAATTTATTTATATGTGGTGCTGAGAATCAAACCCAGTGTCTTACACATGCCAGGCAAGCGCTCTACCACTGAGCCACAACCCCAGCCCATCCCAGCTTACTTTTTACATTTTGGTAACAATAGATGATTCATCTACTTATTTCCCTAAAATTCTATTTTACACATGCACATGCGTGCCACATGAAAGTACCTGCCTAGTTTTAAGGCTTTTATGTGTATTTTCTTTTTTGTTACTTCACTTGTCATTCATTCTTTAAGCACCCCGTCCCTTTTTATTTAGTCAAAGTCAGACATTAGATTTTTATAGGTTAATAGTTAAAATGACATTGTCAAACTGTAACATGGTAAGATAATAGAATCTTTTTAGGTGTGGATTCTTATTAGTTGCCCTGAAAGAATAGCACTTTAGCACTTAGGAAAGGGCATGGCGTGTCTTTCTAAGTATGTCCTTACTTTAGGATGGTAAAGAATTTAGTTGGTTGCAGTGACACATGCCTGTAATCCCGGTGGTTTTCAGGTTGATGTAGAAGGATTTTTAGTTCAAAGCTAGCTTCAGACACTTAGTGAGGCCCTAAGCAACTTAGTGAGACCCTGTCTCTAAATAAAATATAAAAAGGGCTGGGGATGTTGCTCAGTGGTAAAGTGCACCTGGGGTCAATCTCTGCCTCCCCCCCCCCCTCCCCCCCCCCCAAAAAAAAAGAATTTAAGCTATTTTTGGGTGTAGATCTCAGAGGGTACCTTCCTGGAGAAGTACACACTGCTTGGAAGTAAGGAGTCCCAACCTTCCAACCATTATTTCAGACTTAACCATGTGGAAGTTTCTATCAATTCCCTCATTTCCTCTTTGTAAATAAGAGGAATATACCAGATGTGTTAAATGGATTTTGAATTTCCCTTAAGATATCCATGGACTTAGGAAACCAACTTCAATGTAAACAGTTATCAGTGTGAAATTTTAAATTTAAGATTTAAAATAAACTATACTTTGCATTGTTTCGTTCTGTCTTTAAAATGTGTATATATCAGAACTTTATTCAGATTATTTGAATTACTCATGTAGTTACAGAAAAAGTTGAATCAATTGTTTAATTGGTGATGCATGTGTACTTTAACATAGTTAATTTTCACAAACAGACTAAACTGTAACTGATTACCTGCTTAATCAACATCTAGATTTTTTCTTCTTTCTCTTGATCTTCCTGTCTAGACATTTGAGCTTTAGGAGTTATGCTTGCAGGAATCAATGAGAAGACATGCTGAGAATAATGCCAAACAAGCTGGGTGACTTTTTTTTTTTTTTTTTTCCTTTTCCTCCCCTGTCTACTAGTTTGGAAATTTCATTTGATTTCTTTTTTTCTTTTCTTGGAGATCAACTTAGTCATGTTATGTAGCAAACTGAGATGGTGCATACTGTGTAATTCAATGATTA